TTCATAAATTTTGGTTGGGACTTGATCAATCATCATCCTTCTATATAATATACATCACAACATTGTTTTGAGAGAAAAGAAAAAAAAGTTCACCAAATGAAGCACAATAAAAGTAATAGTACTTCTTTACAAAGCTAGTCTAGAGAAAAGAAGGACTAGTGGGGACATGATAGCAATATTCCAGTATTTGAGAGGTTACCACAAAAGAGGCACATATTTTCCAAAGCACTTATTTTCCAAAGCACAAGAAGGCAAGACAAGAAACAATGGATGGAACTAATCAAGGAAGGAAGCAATCTGGAATTAAGGAGAATCTTCCTAACAGTGAGAACAATTAACCACTGGAATAGCTTGCCTTCAGAAGTTCTGGGTGCTTAATCATTGGAGGTGTTTAAGAAGAGACTACAAAGTAAGGGTATAGGGTCTCCTGCTTAAAGAAGAGATTGGACTAGAAGACTTTGATGGTCCTTTCCACCTCTATTCTGATTGATTGAAAGCGATAGAGGTATATTTCTGATAATAAGAAACTGATTACCGATACAAGATGGCAGGGGATAATCCCAAGTTCTTCTTTCTCCAGTCATGCATTTTAGAAGACTGCTCCCATGGAGTGTGTAACCAGGATTACATCCATAAATGATAGTGCTGCCAGCAAAATGGCCTTGATCACTGATTTTGTATCCAAATTGTGGAACACCTGGATCCTCACAGTGAGAAAGTTCAAAACCTTTGAAAGGAAGGAAAGAAAGTCAACAGTGTTTCCAAGCTAATATTCACCCCCCCTCAAAAAAAGCATAGATTGTAATTTAAAAATAGGTTGTTTAATGCGATCATTTGTTGCTTTCTAGCTATGTATGTATGCATGCATGCATGCATGTAAGTATGCATGCATGTAACATTTGAGCCCATGTATATATCTATGTATGTATGCATGCATGCATACATGTATGTAAGTATGCATGCATGTAACATTTGAGCCCTGGTGGCACAGTGGTTAGAATGCCATAGTGCCATAAAATGCCACCCCACTAACTCTGCCCACAGTCTGGATGTGATCCTTAGTGGTTCGAGCTTAATTCAGCTTTCCATCCTCTGAAGGTCAGTAAAATGAGGAACAAGATTGTTGGGAGCAATATGCAAATAATGCTGACATTCTAAACCACCTAGAGAGTGCTGTAAAGCACTATGGGTCGATATTTAATTTCCCAGGCTAGTGTTTTTCTTACTGCTATAATATTTTGAGTTGATGATGAAAGAAAAATTGATTAAATTGATTAAAAAATTTAAGAGACTTCTTTATCTCCAGCCAGACATTTTGACCAACCATTGGACAATTTGACCATCCAATGTTTATCTTCACCAGCAGCAATACATTGTGTATTTATTGTTAAGAGGCAATATATATTAGTTTGGGCATACATTTGGATTACATATTATGCAGCTCTTTCTAATAATGAAAAAGCTTTCCACTGCCATAGCCTATCCTCTAAGAACAATTGATGAGGTATCTTCCAGAACCAGCTCCTTGCCCAACCTATGGTCATTAGCCACGGTTATTCCTATCTTCAAAAAGGGAGACCCAAGCCCAGTTGAAAATTACAGACCAATCTCACTATGTTGCATCACCTGCAAAGTCAGGGAATCAATTATAAACCAATCCATTACCCTCCACCTAGAGACAATTAATCTAATCTATAATAAGCAGTTTGGTTTCAGAAAAAAAATTGTTCTGGAATCTGCAACTCCTACACTACAAAAACATGTAGACTAGGAGGAGCACAACTCGACCAGGGTAAAGCAATAGATACAATTTACATAGACGACTGCAAAGCCTTTGATTCAGTGGTACACAACAACTTATTGTTAAAACTAAGCTCTTACGGCATTTCTAGATCCCTGCACAAGTGGATAGCTGTGTTCCTGCCAAACAGGCCACAAGTAGTAAAAATAGAGAGCGCCCTATCAAACCCTGCACTAGTTAACAGTGGTGTCCCCCACTGGCAAGCATCTTAGGACCCACACTATTTCTGCTTTACATAAATGACCTTTGTGATCATATTATAAGCAGCTGTCCTCTTCGCTGATGATGTAAAACTATTTCACACCACCGATAATACTTCTGTCCTACAAAGTGACCTTCACTATGTGTCAGAAGGGTCGGAAAATTGGTAACTCCAAATATCAACCAACAAATGATCTGCCTTCAACATTGGCAACAGAAATCAGAGCACCAAACACAAGCTGGGTGGATACGACTTCGTAGACTACCCTCACTCAGACACAGATCTAGGAATACTCATCTCAAATGATCTAAGCCCCAGAGTTCACTGTAACAGCATTACTAAAAAGGCATTAAGAGTTGCTAACCGAATTTTGTGAAGCTTCTTCTCTGGTAACATTGTACTGCAAACTAGAGATTACAAAACTTTTGCCAGACCAGTTCTTGAATATAGCTCATTTGCCTGGAGTCCACACTATGTAGTGGATATTAATACCATCAAGAGAATACAGAGGTATTTCACGAGATGTGTACTCCACTCCTCTGCTTACAATAGAATCCCTTATGCCACCAGGCTTGAAATTTTGGGCTTGGACAACTACGGTGATTAAGGTCTGACGTAAGCATAGTACACAAAATTGTCTGCTACAACGTCATATCTGTCAGTAACTACTTCACCTTCAACTGCAATAATACACGGGCAATCAATAGATACAAACTCAAGATAAACTGCTCCAAACTTGATTGCAGAAAATATGACTTCAGCAACAAAGTGGTCAGTGCCTGGAATGCTCCACTTGACTCTGTTGTTACATCCTAAAAACCCCTTAAATTTAACCTTAAAATATCTAGCGTGGACCTCACCCCTTTCCTAAGAGGTCTGTATGGGGCATGCATAAATGCACCAGTGTGCCTACCATCCTTGTCCTATTGTCCCCATTTCTTCATACCCATTTCCTATNGGGAAAAGGGCGGCCTACAAATGCAAATAAAACCTCTAAAAACCTCTAATTATCAATTCAGTAGATGCTTGCTGAAACTTAGATGCACTTTAATTTTCATGCCATGTACTGGACAGCATATGAAAGCTTGATCATTAGAGCAAAGATTTCTCCACATTGGTCAGAAGTTCTTACTGTGATAGCAGTCTGTGTTTTTTTTTGGTTTTTTTTTAACACAGAGTCTACATTTAGTGATGTACCAGTATATCTATTCCACCTGTATTGTCTGCTAATTCTGCAGAAGCCTTTAAAAGACTTCTCATTATTTTATTGCACTGACAGCATAAACCTGGCATATGCCTGATTAACACAAAGCTCCTGAACTGTTTGGTTCAAAAGTATCCCAATATATTTCTTTGTGACTTTCATGAGATAGGGTAGACAAATTCAGCAATTTTACTCTTCAAAGAAATTTGATTGTCAACAATCAAAGCTACTGAATCATACTAATTTTCAGTCTGGCCACATACTGAGCATTTTGTACTTCCACTGAATCAAATGTTAACTGTAAATAAGTTTAATGAAAGAGAAAGAATTAACAAAAGAGAGTGAATTAATAAGAAAGATAAAATGAAATTGTGGCAGAGTATTCTTGTTCTTTGATATTATGATACTGCATTTGAGTCAGATAAAGAAAACACTTTTTTGAAGTTTCTTAAAACACAGTTTTGTTCATCAAAAAGAAATCTGAGAATCTGAAATAAATTAGATCATATGAAAGACCAACTAATATATCAACTAACTTTATCTTGAAAGTGTTAATTTTAATATTAGAGGCAGTAAACCGATCTCTGTCAGCTTGTATGACTTGGGAAATTTGACAAGACCTAATTAACTAAACTTGCATTATTTAATTCACTTTAATTTAAAATATTTACAGACTGCCCCAAGATTGCCAGTTCTGGGTCATGTATATGAACAGGATAATTTTAAGTGATTTCTTAAATGAAAATAAAGAGAGAGCCAATTATATATTAGGGATAGTGTTCTACATAATAAAGGGTCTAAAACTGAGAAAACATGTCAAGTTCTAGACCACTACAATTTAAGGCAGACCCTCTTGTAATTTGTCAGTGCCCACCATTTTGGAAAGTCCATGGTTTGTCTGGATTTATACAGGCATGAGCTTCAAAAAATTCAACCACGGGTTCTCTGTCTGGTTGCTGGGTGGGTGTGGCCGTGGGCATGGCCATGGTGGGCATGGCCTAGTCAGCCTCCTGCACTATGGCAAGGGGGAGGGCGTTTTCACCTTCCCCAGGCTCTGGAAGCTTTCCTCGAGTCTCTGGGAGGGGAACAATTTCCTTCCACAGCCTCCGGAGGGCCTCTGAAGGCCAGAAATGGGCCCGTTTCTGAGTTTCCGAAACTTCTGGGAGTTCTGTTTTTCCCCCTCACCGAGCCTTCACATGGGCCCTGCATTTACCTTGCATCCATGGAGACTCCTGGGAGAGGTGGAGTGGGTGGGCAGGATGGGGCCAGCCAGGGGTAGGATTTGGAGGTTCTCCTAACCAGCCACATTATTACCTATGGGTTCTCCTGAACCCTGGCGAATCTGTAGCAGTCCACCCCTGGTTTTATATCATTGTTATGATTCCAGATGCAATTCAAGACGCTGGTAATCCCATTTAAAGCCCTGTAAACAGCAGAGCCAAGCTACTTCTGTGACTGCCTGTATTTGAGGATCTTTGTCTGTCTTGCCATATCCTACAAGGGTATATTTCCGGAGCCCTTCTGTTAAAAGGGCCAACTTGTGGGACTGAGGACCTGTGCTTTCTCTTCTTCAGTGTCTCAATTATGACATACTTTAGTCCTGGACCCTGATCTTTTTGGCCTTTGAGAAGACCGTGTTCACCAAGGGAGGAAGAGACAAAGAAAATCAGACAGGCAGCCAGACAATCATTGGCTAATTAACCTATAATCTAGAAGGAAATATTTTACAATAGCTCAAAAAATAATAATCTAGATTTTGAACTACTCAGAGCCACATGTGTACATCAACTTACTTGAAAATTGAATGGCAAATCCAGATTTGCTGATATAGAAGTCTGTGTCAAATTGTATTGTCACTATGTTGAGAGTGCTGTGGATGCCTTCTGGAATAAGAGAGCCACTAATTTCCTTTAACAGCATGTCATTTTCAGGTGGGCCATCCCAAACCCGTAGGATATCATGTGAAGCTTCAGTATCAAATGCCAAAAATTGGAGGCTGTAAAAAACACCAAATATTAATGCCCAATTTAAATAAATAAATAAAATAATTGCAACCAAATCTATGCTTCTATGAGTTGCATCTTAGAAAGGATCATGTAGGGGAGAAAGATGCTTGGTTGATAATTAAAAGGTCTACATAAAGAGGCCTGCCTCTCAGGTGCTGAACAGCATTGCTCTCTTTACTGGAGATTTATCCTCCATGGGTCTTTATGCCTTGATTTGAAGACTTCTTATGTAGATCTAATATGAGAAAACATTTGATGTACCATATTTTTCGGAGTATAAGAAATACCTTTTTCCCTCAAAAAAGAGGCTGAAAATCTGGGTCCATCTTATACACTGAATACAGGATTGTTGCCTGCCGAAACCCCACTCTCTTTACCAAAATGGAGTGCACAGCTTGTAGTAGGCTTTCAAAGAGCTTCTGGGGGCTAGGGAGGGCAGAAATGAGCAAAAAAATGGCCCATTGTTTGCTCAATTTTGCCCCCACCCCCACCCCAAGGAATATTCTACAAGCCTCCTAATGGCTATTCATGCCCTTTAAAAAAAAACAGGCTCATTTTTGCGAAAAACAGGCCATTTTTGGAAAGTTTGCAGAGTGCAAACTTTTTTTTTTAATTTGCCTCGTCCAAACCTTGGTGCACCTTATACTCTGAAAAATACGGTATATACAATGCATACACCAAAGTTTCTTCTGGCACTGAACAAAAATGTCACATGAGGCTTCTGTACAAGAGTAATGACTTCTGTAGCTCTTAGCAATGCTGGGCAAGGAATCAGAAGGAAGGCAAAGTGAAGCCATCCATTACCCTCAGACCTTTACCAGCAATCAACCCAACCCCAACCTTACAATTATAATACTCCATGCAGATTTGAAACAAATATTTCTTCACCCAAAACTGTGGTCAATCATTTTAGCCCATCAGATAATTTGGTTAGTATTCCATCACTCAGGCTGGGGGGTGTGTGAAATTCTATGCCCCTCAGACAGGGCTCGCAACTTGGGAGTCCTCCTGGACCCACAGCTGACTTTAGAACACCATTTGTCGGCTGTGAAAAGTGGGGCATTTGCCCAGATTCACCTGGTGCACCAGTTGCGTCCCTACCTGAACCGGGAGGCACTCACAACAGTCACTCACGCCC